CTGGAGGAAATTGCATCATTAACTAGAAATTTATATCTAAGCCAAGGGTGGATTAGGAGTTAAAATGGGCCAGAGAGATCAGGAGAGAGGGATTCTTGAAAAACTGACTGGGGTGCTGCACTTAAATAAACATAGCTTATAATATGAACTACTACTAGTACTATTCGTACAGTTCACAAATTAAATAAAAAATACATTGTGCAGATTCTTTCATTTATAATCCAACATTTATCATCCATCTTAGTAAAGTATAAACCTATATGATCACAAAATTACATGAACTGAAACTAATTCATACAAAAATCATTTTTAAAAAGTAATGTAGTTACTTGTTTATCACTCATCAGTAATTAACAGGAAATTGGGCCCCCAATTTAAATAGTGTTTATGAAAAAAATTAAAAATTTTTTGGATCGACCTCTGGCCCACCAGAAATGTTTACAGTATCCCAGCAGCTCAACCTGCCTTTGTAATTAAAGCCTAGCACATGACCTCCACTGTATCTCAGTTAAGCAGTTGCTGACATGGGAGTTTTTAATGAAATTTTGAGATACACATACCCACAAGCATCACTATTTTGTTTCTTAACAATTCCTTAAGGTCTGAATTTTTCAGTTCCATTATTGATTCACAAAAAAGAAACCCCTTACCCCTGTGGCTCAGTGGTAAGCCTGAATGCTTATTATGCTAAAAACTGAGTTTTGATACTTGTGGTGGGCACAGCTCAGATAGCCCATTGTGTAGCTTTGTGCTTAACAACAAAGAAGGGCAAGAAAACAACTGTGAATACAAATATTTTTTCTTAATGATTTATTTCAATCAATTGTATTACCAAAAAGCTCACCTGATCTTTGAAAAATGGTGTGGGATCAAAGGAGGGCCTGGTTTGAATGAGACTACTAAAGTCTTACTGAAAACCTTATAAGAAAGCCCACAGTATCATGCAAGTGTATTGTTACACCACAACAAATTTTATTTAGTTTTCTGTTAAGATTTTGCAAACTTTATAATTTACACAGTAATTTTATTGAAAATATTATTGTAACATTTTTTGATAATTCTCAAAAGACTTATTCTTGAACCTTAAAACACTGATCATCACTTGGCATGTTGCATCAACACGACTCACTGAAAAGATAGATTAATCTTTGCAGAGTAGGCAGAGTACTACCCTAAAATCAATTACCAATCATCTGATTCATGTGACAAACTACCCTTGTCAGCAATGCATAATATATTGTTGTGACATGTTTTATCTTTGAGTGTGTTCTTTTGGATCATGTTTTAAAAAATAATGTGATATTCAGCAACATAAAAATAACAAATTAACTTATTTCTACCTTAAAATATGCTACAGGCTACTGTCATTTATAGTTGTAGGCATAAGTGCACAAACAACATTTCAACAGCAATTCAGAGACTGTAGTAAGTATGTTTAACTCACAAGTAAACTTACAGAATTTCCTTGCTAACATACACAATAAAACTCACTTTTAACACTGAACTTTGAACAACTTCTCTGACACTGAACTCATAAACTCACTGATTGCTCATATTTATAGTGTATTCTTGTTCCTCCAAGTTCCACCAAATTTCTAGATTATTACATCTTGAATTTTCTAGGTATTCTAGGACAATATTTATGAATTTTGTAGAACTAACATCATCATCATGATTAACATCTTTTAGCAAACAACTAAATTATAACATTGAAAATATAGCCTATAACACTGCTCCCTTCCTGAATTGTAAACAATACTAATACACACACAAAAAGAAACAACAGTAAACTAAACTGTCCATCCACCAAGTCATTTTTGGTGGTTTCTCTTCTAGGACTTATTGTATGCAGATGGGATGACCATTTATTCCTTTTCATCACTAGCTGTTCTGTCGCTGAGGGTGCTCTTCTCAGGTAGGCAGTTCAGTCTATCTAGTGACAGCTATATTTTTGGTGATCCTCTGGAAGTGGTTTTCATAGGGGTCCTTGGCAGGTTGACTTTTTGCTCGCAAATCCTTCTCTGGATTTACCCAGTTGGCCATTACTCACTGGCATTCTTCCAAAAGTGATTATGGTGGATGACCTTTGGCTTGGAATGTCTGTATTTCTGGATGTTATAAACCACATCATTAATTCTGTTCAGAACAACAAAGAACCCTTCCAAACATTAGGTGAACTTTGGAGTTTGTCATGTATGACATCAATGGTGTGTCTTAGTCTTTCTGCATATTCTCTGTAAAACTGATCAGTGACTATATTCTCTAGATGTGAGTACAGAAGGTCCAATGGCACTTCTAAGTTCCAATGGAAGATCTTGACCCCACATTTTCTAATGTTCATTCATAAAAATGGCTAATTGGTTTAAAAGTGTCTGGTTTTACCTCTCTATCATACCATCAGATGGGTAAAGGGCCATTGTCCAGATCTTTTTCAATCCAAGGATTTTAAACATTTCTACAAACAAGACTGATTCATGATCTAAGCAAAGTTTCATAGGCACCTAAAACCTTGAATTCTTTGACAAATGTCATGGTTAGAGTTTCTGGTTAAGAACACTACATGTTTCTGGCTATTTGATGAAATAATTCATCATAGCCATGATGTATTAATTTCTACTGTTACTCAAACAGAGAAGCAAACACATCAATGGCAACTCCTAAGTAGTGCTCCAACATAATAATGCTGTAACTGACTGTGCTAATTCTTTCATGGACATTTTTTGCTCACAGTATACTTTACGGGAGTTGCACCACATTTTTACAGATCCCTGATACCTAACACAATAAAAGCATTCTCTTAATCTCTCCATTGTCTTCTTAACACCTAAGTGTCCAGCTGTTGGAAGGTTATGAAAATGACAGTGCTTCAGAATGTAGAAACTGTGGAAGTGACAAATGAAGTCGTTGTTTCTGTCCGCACGTATCTTTCCACTTCCAACATAACAAGCCTTTTTGTTACAATAATGAATCTCACTGTGCCAGATACATCTTCGTCTTTAGGCTGTATGGAGCAACTATTTGCTACAAGGGTTTTCCACACTATTCTTGACCCATTGAATCATTGGTTCCAAACTTGTTTCTTTTTCTTGAGTATTCTTCAGTTGAGTGTTGGATGACATTAATTCTTCATGATCACTTGTGGACTATACTGTGTTATACTTTAAGTTGGTCATCTTTACTATCTCGTGCTTCCCTCATTTTTACAGTGTTTACATTCTTCATTAAAACATAATCTCAGAGATAATGAGTAAGCATTTCCATGATTTCACCCAGGGTGATACACAATGTTAAAGTTCTTGGGCCTGGATTGTAAAGTTCACCACTCACTTCAACACTTCTCTCTTGAGTGTGCCCCCCAGTGGCCCAGCGGTATGTCTGTGGACTTACAACACTACAATCCGGGTTTCGATACCCGTGGTTGTCAGAGCACGGATAGCCCATTGTGTAGCTTTGTGCTTAACTACAAACAAACAAACAAACTCTTGAGTGTAAACTTTTGCCCATATATGTAATGACCTTCTTTCTGTGTTGTACTTGTGATAACACTGCTCCCACTGCAGAATCACTGGTATCTGAACAGTTTAAATTATCTAGCGAAAATAATTCGAAGTCCAGTACAGGTATGATAACAAATTAGTTTATTTATTTCTTAACATTTCTACAAGCTTATACACGTTGAAACTTGTTGGCATATGTTTACATATGGTATTTATTACAACTAACTGAAAGTAAACTTACTTGTAAAATTTCATGGTTAATCGATAAAGTAACTGAATATACGCAGTAATTAAAACAGATCTAAATCTTCAATGAATGACTGAAAACAATACTCATTCACTCTTCACCGTTAGCTCACTAGCTACAAGCTAAACAGGTTTGCTATACTTACTCTTCTTTGTATTTATGGGCCTGGCATGGTTTGGTGATTAGAGCGCTCGACTCGCAATTTGATTGTCACGGATTCGAATCCCCGTCACCGAACATGCTCGACCTTTCAGCCGTGGGAGCATTATAATGTGACGGTCAATCCCACTATTCGTTGGCAAAATAGTAAGCCAAGAGTTGTCTGTGGATGGTATTGACTAGCTGCCTTTCTTCTAGTCTTTCACTGCTAAGTTAGGGAAGCTAGCGCATATAGCCCTTGTGTAGCGAAATTCAAACCAAACTTTGTATTTATAATCTACTGTAAATACTCCTTTAATTTACTAGATCTTCGTGACGCCACATTTAAAACTTTCTAGGGCTACTCCCGTAAACTTTCTTGGTTTTAACGTTGTGCATCATCTAGCTAACATTAAATCACAGGATAAAAATGTGTAATTTATAACTTCATTAGAACTGTTGAATGTCTATGTTTTAGTTTGCTGAAGATTAATCGGTCGGTTATTGCAAAACCTATCATAATTATGCATACTGACATCAACCGTGGAGATAACTTTTAAACTTTCTAACGTTTCGAGTACTGTACAGTTCACCATTATCAAGGCAATTGACGACAAGGGTTGCTATTGAAGTCATGGTTCGAATTATTGAAAAAATATTCTACATAACACGTTTGCGCGAAGTACTATATGGTTTTAGCAATACATAACACGTGTCATTGTTATGTAAAACACTACTCTCTTAATAATTTCACCACGTTGAGAAATGGGGAAAAACGTTAACTACATGATAGGTATCAATATGTATAATTATAATAAACAACGCTGAGCGTTAGTCTCCTTTACATCAAACTCACGCGTATTATGGCCAAAGATATAGAATTTGAACAAAATGGGGTTTGGTAATGCACCAACCTGGACTATTTTGAAATTGACACACTATATCACTGACTTAAATAAAAACATATTTTGTTAAGTTTCACTGAAGATGTTTTCAAGCAACGTCATTATGGTTATGATGATCAAAAAAAAACTTAACACGAAAACAAATTTAAGATTTAGCCGGCAACTATTTAAATATACTTTGCTAGATTTACTAACAATGGTTAATATCATTAGGTCAGAGAAAAACTGGAGCAAGAGAGAGAGGAACAAATGAGTCACTTTATGGACGAGGTGATAGAAGAAGAGTCATCTTTTGGCAGTTTCGACAAAAACTAGCAAAGCCTCATTCCTAAGCCCTTAACAATTTTTTTCCTGTGTGTATATAAATTATATATAAGCACAATTTAAATATATTAGTTCTATCTTGATTTTAAAATAATTACAGGCACGTCGTCTATTGTAAAGAATTATGAATTTAATGTACTTTCAAGCCTGTAAACGGTTTTTGAAGAGAGATGTTATCCAATGCCAATATTTTAGAGCTACAAATTACTTGACATATAGTCTAGTTTTGCTTGACTATACTCTTGAGCTTCAAACTTCTTATTGAACTAAAAACAAATTATTGACAATATTGCTGTGCTTTAAATTAAAGTTTTGATTAGTTGAAAAATGTTACGTATTACCTATGAGTAGTATTTTTGGGTTTACAGAATGGAAAGTATTTTAAAATGTGTTTTATATGTATTAATATTAAGCATAATCGTTATACTATGTAGATTTGAATATGTATAAATGACATACTGGACCGGGAACGTACTTCTTTCCAATTTAAAACTTGTTGATTGATTTTCGCACGTGGTAAAAGTCGCAATATATTTATTAAATAAACCCCTATTATGAGTTTTAAGCAACCATTACTTTTTGTTTTTAACCTGTTAAAATTGTGTCTTTTTTGAAGATTATTGTCACCATGCTTTAAAATCTGTAGTTTTAACTACTTGTTTGGGTGTAAAATGATTAATTCCGAAGTTATAGATAATTTATAACATCCACGTGTGTTAAAGTTAGTGTATAAAATGTATGGATTATACATCTTGATGAAAGAAAAATCTTATTGCACTAAATTAGTAAATTGTTTAACAATTTAGAATTAGTCGTTATATATATATCCAAACAAAGAAAAATATGTCCAGAATATTCCAATTATAATTAGTGGTGTTAAACAACAAAAAATAATTTGAATATATTAAAAGTATTCTGGTAAAAATATTAGACTTGCAAAATAAATATCTCAAATTTCCGAACGCTATGGTCGACCCCCCCTCCCCTACAAAAAGCTGGAAACATTCATGATTTAAAATATAGAGTAATTTCGACGTTCACAAGGAAGCGATTGGTAAGATAGCTTATCGCTTTTGATTTGATTTATTATTCATTCATATTAGTTATTTCTTCTTTTTTTACCCAAGTGGAAGATAAAGCTAAGTACGGCAAAATTTATTATTAAAGCTGAAATATACTATCACATAACATGTAATTATTGTAAAAAATCTTATCATACAAGTACTTTAAATTCAATAAAAATACTGATATAGGTGTAAGCTATATCTAAACTGTTAGATTGAAGTGAAATAAGAGTTCAGCAAAATGGCGTACATAGTATACAAGAGTATGTTACTTTTATATGTACATAGTGCAAGGAAATGTTAATAAATCTATAGTATATGCAACGTTAAACCTAGCAAACACAAGATGAAAAATAAAACCATCAATATAAAACATCCAAACAGTCCATTTGATTTCAGATCGCCATGTTTAAGTTACCTAGTAAATTTAGGCTGTCAATTATAACTGGTTCATTTAGTGGAATTCTTGTCAAATCTATGTTGTATGTTAAAGCCCATTTGGTGTAAAGGTGCCAAGTATAAGTTGTTTGTAAAATCCATGTGTTATAAATCTTACCAAGTCTGTGTTGCCTGTTAAAGTCCATTTGGCGTAAAGGTGCCAAGTATAAGTTGTCTGTTAAATTATTGTGTTATAAATCTTACCAGGTCTATGCCAGTTAAATTCCATTTGGTGTAAAGTTGCCAAGTATAAGTTGTCTGTTAAATCCATATGTTATAAATCTTACCAGGTCTATGCCAGTTAAATTCCATTTGGTGTAAAGTTGCCAAGTATAAGTTGTCTGTTAAATCCATATGTTATAAATCTTACCAGGTCTATGCCAGTTAAATTCCATTTGGCGTAAAGGTGCCAAGTATAAGTTGTCTGTTAAATTATTGTGTTATAAATCTTACCAGGTCTATGCCAGTTAAATTCCATTTGGTGTAAAGTTGCCAAGTATAAGTTGTCTGTTAAATCCATATGTTATAAATCTTACCAGGTCTATGCCAGTTAAATTCCATTTGGTGTAAAGGTGCCAAGTATAAGTTGTCTGTTAAATCCATGTGTTATAAATTTAACCAAGGCTATGTTGCTTGTTAAGTTCCATTCGGTGTAAAGGTGCCAAGTGTAAATTGCCTGTTAAATTCTCGTGTTATAAATTTTGCCAAGTCTAAGCTGCCTGTTAAAGCCCATTTCTTTGTACAGTTATCAATTGTAAGTTGTCTGTTAAATCCATATGTTATAAATTTTACCAAGTCTATGCTACCTGTTAAAGTCTATTTGATGTAAAGGTGTCAAATCTGTTGATCCAAACTAGTTATCTGTATCTTTATTCGTAAGGTGTCATTCGCTATTTCTTAAAGCCAGAAAATAATTTTACTTTCAACTAACTGGGATGAAGCAAACAAACAAATCGGTCGATTAACTGGTCTGTCTGATCTATGATTAGTGAGGTGTATCGTTCAGTCCTTTTGTTTTTGACGTTAGGATTCTTTGAATGGTACTTGTTAGAGTGAATGCTCAGGATTGTTCTCTTTCGCCAATGAGTACAGCTCATAGTTCAGTGGTTCTCAAACTTATTAGGTTCAAGTACTACCTTTTTTTATATATATAAACCCAATTTTAAAGAAAACGAAAACCTAGTAGCAAAAGTTAATATTTTTACACAATTACCTCTTAATAGAAATGACGTGATTGTTTTTTCTGGCACAATTGAGGAATATGATTTTTGTCAATTTAACGGGAAGAAAACACTGGCGAGTCTAGAAGTGAGGAGAATAGTGTGCATATTTTGCATATGAATAGATTTTAATAACCTCTAAGTCAATGTCATTTGTTATGTATTTTTTAGTATTTTAGCTATATTTCCTCATGAATGTATTTTGACAGTTAAAAATGGGTCGTATTCAAGTTTCTATCGAGTTTTCAAGGTCATGATGAAGGTAAAGCTGGAAGTGAGTTCTTGAATGAAAAAGTTTCCCTTTTTTATTGTCGCATTAAAATTAGTCTTAGCTGCTACGTAGAATATTTTAGACAAAGAATGTAGTAAATCCCAAAATTATTTATGTTTGTCCTTTGGCATAATCCATTCATTAATTTTAAGACTAAAGACATTCTAACAGCGTTTTGTTTGTAAAAGAAATTTTGTGGGGAAATATGATGCCTGTAAGTATCCCCGTAGTTTAGTTTTTGAACCAAAAGGAAGAAGCAGATTGGAGAACTTGCTTATGGTACCATAAGATTGATGTTGAACTTCAGGTTCAGTTTCACCGAAGAAATGATTTTAAAGACAAGTTTCTTAAGCAGTATTCATCCTAAGCTATGCTCTGTAGATCGGTGGTTCTCAAAGATAAGTTTCTTAAGCAGTATTCGTCCTATGCTATGTGTTGAAGATCGGTGGTTCTCAGCCTTTTACAGTAATGTACCCTTAGTTAATTTTCAACACTATCATGTATCCCCGCAGTGGCGCCATCAGAAATCAGCGTGTGTTTGAGTAATTTTGTACCCCATGTATCCCCGGTTGAAAACCACTGCTATAAACAGATGTCTAAAAAAATTACTATAAAATTTGTTTTATGTTTTTACTTGGTGCTTAAGAATATGATATTCCGTGGACCGGGGTCTCGAAATTACACTTAATTATGCAACACAATAGAATAGTAAGATACTGGATATAGTTAATTCTAACGTTTTCTTTCGTGCATTTGTATGATTGTATTGTTGTTTATTTTTATAAAACAATTTTATGATGCCATTTTCTTAAACACCAGTATTATATAGTAGATTTTAATACCAATGCTGTAGAGTATAGATGAAAGTTTTTGTTTCGTATATACGAGAAAAATGATTCTATTCATTAGTACTTTTATGTGTGCGATTGTCTGCTCAACAATATTTGACACTTATTAAACCTTACTAGGATCATAACTTCAGATTGTATTGTATGTCGGACCTTGTATGATGGTATGTCATTGATGCTTTTGAGCTTAATTAGTCCAATAATGAAAACTTAGAGAATCGAATCAGAAGGCACTAAAAGAGTTGACAGTGCACGTGACCAATTACTGAAATTCTGAATGGTCACTTATCTTTTCTCACTAAGGAAATATGACTGTAGCTTTCATGATAGCGAAAGCAATGTTTTATTAACCGTCTTTTTGACTCTTTATTTCTTAATAACTTAAGTCCTTGCATAACATCCAAACGTTTATATATATATCTTTATACACATGCCTTTTATATTTGTGTAAAAAGGGTACTTGTTTTTCAACATTTGTGTGTAAGCTCAAGTCCCTAAACCAAAGTATCTCCACTTTTTTTTTGAAAAATTACTGTAAAATAAAATGTGTTAACTCACACTATATAAAATAAAAGCCAACTATAACCAGCTGATAACTGTAGTTTCGAATGATAATTTCTCTCATCAGTACACAACTAAATCAATAGTATAGAATGTTACGCGTGGAAGCTTTCCTTACTTACGAAGGTATATCTATAAGATGAACAGTTAGCCGATCTATTTATGAAAGTGGTAACACTTAATCTCAAATATTCATAGTTCCTAGTGAATTAGGTGAAATGTTTATTGATGTCCATTAGACTTGATTCCGCATCTTTGTAGTATTTTTTCAGTCTTGATGCCTATGATGTTTGCAAATAAAAAACATTCTATGAAAAATAATTACTAAACACAATATTGTTGTAACGTGTTCTATAATTGGGCGCGTTCTTTTGGGTTATGTGGTAAAAATAATGGGAATAATTAATAATTTAGTTTCACCAAAATAATCCTACTTCTGAAGCATTATATTGTTGGACAGGCTCTTTTGGATTTTTCAGTAAAAATAATGCAAAGTCCAATTCATTTTATGATAATGATTTATATTATTTCTTTAATAATGCGTTATACAGACTAAAGGCTACATTTACTGGTAGGCCTAACTTCACAATCAATGTTAAAGAAATTCTGAAACTAATTTACACCTAACTCACAAATAAAACTAATGCCACTTGCCAATTTTTCTCGCTGATCGATTAATCGATAACAAAAATGTTGACTGACTCATTGAATGACTAACTCAATGACTGAATCACTCAAGAATAGACTAACTGAAGTCCCCCAGTGAATTAGTAGTAAGTTTATGGACTTACAGTGATAAAATCAGGGGTTCATTTCCCCATAGTGAACAGAGTGCAGATAGATCATTATATAACTTTGCACTAAGAAAACAACAACTAAATCACTAACTGTCAGTGAACTAACTGATACTGAGCTAATTAATTAATTCTAACTAACTCGTTATGGTATTTTTGTATTGTTCTATATTTCATGAGCATTCGAGATTTCACAGAGGCCTACATCTTCATGAATCATCTAAATTTTTAACACAAGTATTAAAAACTACCTAAAGCCTGTCATGGCCTGGTAGTTAGGGTACTGGACTCGTAATCTGCGGGTCTCGTGTTAGAACCCCGTTACCAAACATATTCGCCCTTTCAGCCATGAGGGTGTTATGATGAGACAGTCAATCATACTAATCGTTGGTAAAGAGTAGTCCAAGAATTAGCAGTGGGTGGCGTTAACTAGCTAGCTCCCTTCCCTTTAGTCTATCACTTCAGTAATGAACTGTGACCAATAGATCCCCACCTCGATTTGTGAAAAGGTTGATAGTGACGAGAATGTGTCAGTGACCTCTCTCAGTCTGTGGTAGTTGACTACTAATATCCACAGTTACCCTCTGCTGAAAATACCCAACAATTCCATTTGAAGTTTGTCCTGTCTTGGTCAGTTTTTTCTCAGGGCTCACATCATCACCAGATATCTCTACTTGAATGCAGCCAGATGAACTTTCATTGAATGTTATCACAAGTGTGGGTAAACTCTGGTGCCCTCCAGTCTTTGTGTTGTGCAAAGTCTGGAGAATCTTTTGATGTAGAGCTCGGAGGACCACTAACTGCAACACAGTCTAAAAACTATGGCTCAATGTTTTAAGCAACAGTACAACACACGTTTCTGCAACTGACCAAACAGGTACCACAGGTTACATGGATCCATGTTATGCTCTTATATGACTGCTGGTCAGGCTTCACCTTGTTGCATGGCAAGGAGCATTCACGCTAGATCAGAATCCTACAATGGCTCTTTCTAGAGCTCTCAAAGTGTTAGTATGGTATCCATCCACCAGAAAAATCTTCCTCTTCATGGATTGCCTTTACTACGGCAGAAATTGCTATGGGTTAATATTCCACACAGTGTGCAGGATTGAAACATTCCCAGAATGGACAAAGTCTCAATATGCAGTGAGATACTCCATCCATGTTTGCATGTTGCACTATAAGAAAATCACATTTTTGCAATGTTATTATCCAATGTGCTATCATCCCTTCCAGATTTTTAAAGTTCATTAGCCACTTCAACAAAGCATGGTCCACTCAGACAGTGAACCTTCTATCATATAAGTAGTGGCAATAGTGTTTCACAAAGATCACCACTGGAAACATTTCTTTCTTTACCGTACAATATCTGCATTCAGAAGCCATGAACATATGACTAGTGTACATGATTATACATTTTACTCCATCATGAATCTGTAATAAAACTACTCAGATTCCATTGCTACTGGCATCAGCATCCAACAAGAACTCACTATCTGACTGTGGATAGATAGCACTGGAGCATCCATTAAAACAAAATTTAGGGATTGGAATGCTTGGTTAAATTCCTTGCTTCATCCAAAGTGCATCTTAACTTTTGTAAAAACAGACAATGGTGTTGCTATCTTGGAGAAGCTGGCCCCAATTCATCAGTAATATGATGCAAAACCTAGGAAACTGTGGACTTCTCACTTGGTCAGAAGTTGATGCCATTCTCTCATCATGGCTATCTTAGTCAGATCTATAAAAACTTCATCTCTCACTACAATGTGGCCAAGAAACTCCACTTCCATGAACATGAGTAAGCATTTTCCAGGTTTCAGTTTCAAGCCTGCTTTATGCACCTGCTTGAATACCATTCTTAAGTTTTAAGCCATAGAGCTCGACTTTCCAGTATTCAGAGTCCATAACAAAATTGTTGAGCCAATGGGAACCTTCTAACACATCCAGAAATTTATTTTTTTATAGTAAATGGAAGGTATCAATGCGATTTGTTGTGTTCATCTGTCTAAAAGCAACACAAAACCTTGTGTACCTGCCTGCTACTTAACAATCACTACTGGACATGACCAAGCACTCTTCAAAGGCTGTATAACGTTTTCACTCAACATCCACTGTATTTCAATGCTGATGACGATCCTGATGCTCTAGGAAAACTAGCATGGTGATTGCTTTATCAGAAGTGCATCACTTATATCTATGTTGTACTGACTCACTGTGGTTTGGCCCAATCACCCCTCTCGTCCCACAAATACATTGGCATATTCAAACAAGTCACTGAGTTTCTTTAATTGTATTGGATCTAAATTCTTTGCACAATCTTCAATCATCAATCTCAGACTTGTTGTCAGCTGCTTACTAACTTTTGGCCATGATGTGATGGAAGTAGCCCTAGCATTATTTCTATCATTGATTACTTCTGCTATGCTTACCACACCTATAACCATTCCAGTGTGCAGCTGGATAGCTGGTCACCCATAATTACAAAACAATACTGGGACTTTGGCTCCTGTTAGAAAAATTTCTGTCTGAGCTAATGCTGCCTGCTTTTTGGACAGGAAATAGTTCATTTCATGTGTGGCTATATAACCATATAACATAGTATCAATGCACTAAACTTCATCTGCAGTGAACCATGGAATGCCACTTGTATATGTGGAATTACTGTTATTCTCTTAGCTACATAATATTCACACAGTTCACTGTTCCTGGGCTTGATCTGTCTGACATTGGATAACTATTCTGCAAAACATGAGCTCACCAATTGCACAGGCAGAACTGATGGATAATTTATATGGTATGCTCATCCCAAGGATGTGAATGTCTGATCCAAAGTCGGAAACGACTATTTTCGTTCAGTGAGTGACATTTCTTAGATAGAGTCTCAAGTCTACCTCTCCTATTTAGTCTCTCATTATCTCCCCAGTGATTGCTGTTTCACTTGGAAAGTTTAATATATCATGAGGTCTACCAGTGTTCTGACTGCTATTTCTTGACGAGGAACCCAAGCTTGCTCTCGTGCTTTATCAGTTATGCACCAAGCTTCATTCAGCCTTTAGAGGGCTGGTCTGATCACTAAACTATTCAGTGCAAACAGTCAACTATGATCCCCAAAGCTGGTGTATAGACCCAACTTGGACTCTCAGTTTTCCAGAGTATTTTTCACAGTATCCACTGCTTGATTCTGATTATCCTGAATATGCTGAACCATCGGGTGGTACTAGTAATTGTGCTTACTTTTATACTTGTAATATTATGGGCACTGTTGATTGATGCTGGCATCTGTTGAGTTCTCGACTGAAACCGAAAGGCTTAATCGTTTTGCTGCTCAGCGAAGTACAGGCAGCTCATTCACATATACTTTGCTGATCATCACAATCATCATATTAATAAGAGATGATGGAAAGTGTATGATATGCCTGTATATAGCAAGAATATCGGAAGAATGATTTTTAGAAAAGGCAGTTTAGAGTGAAGAATAATCTTTTGATTAAAGTAAATGACGATATCATGAATAAGTGTAAAAATACTTGGCGCGTATTAATATTTCTAAGGGAACAACTCTACTGACTAACATAAATCAGTTGGCTGTGTTAAAACTAATTGTTTATTCAGTACAATATAACAAAATAATGGTGGTCAAGTAGTTAGCACGCCGAATTGTGTATATGAGGCTCCATAAATCGAGTCTATTACTCCAAAATTATGCACGTGGGAACTACACAAGTAGCCTTTGTCTAGCTTTGCGCAAACTTCTACAAAAATGTTAGATAAAGAATTCGAACAGTAATTAAGACGTGACTTTTTCCGAAATTCAGTTGAAGCAGCTTGTTTTGCTTAAAAAGTTATCGTATATATCATCTTCAAACTCTAAAAATATATTTTGTCTTGATCAACACATAAAGGTAATGTTTACCCAAATATTTTCTCTTGAAAACGACAAGGAACTTTGTAAAAGTAAACTCCGCAGGTAAATTCTGTAGATAAACGTGCACAGTATACAAGTATAGAAAAGTATTTTTCAGATAAAAAATCATATAAAACATACAATATCGTTTTTCAGAAAATTTGATCCCCTGACGTAGAAATAAGTTTGTACGTAACTCAGTAATCAATATATAAATAAACAACGTCGAGTAATGTTGTTGTTTTAGCACAAAGCTACAAACTGGGTTATCTGAACTCTGTCCACCACAATGATTCCATCTCCGGATTTTAGCATTGTAAGTCTGTAACCTCAACGCTGATCCATCGGGAAATGTCAAGTAATGTTTGACAGGGGCATTTTCCCACCCACATTCTCTCCTCTCTCCCCCTCCCCCAAATGTAACCCTACATAATATGTATAACAAGAAAACACGTTAGCACGCGCACTACCGTTTTACGGCATGTATGTTTTTTTTCTTCTATGCTAAAAGTCAGCCAGATATATCTTACAATAATAGGTATTACCTTTAACCCGACTTTTTATACTAATAGTACTACTGCATTAAATAATTATAAATTTGATTGAATAATGCTCGAAAGAACTCAGAATAATAACATGCAAAAAGCAGAATATGTCCCATAACTATCACAATTATTATGGTTTTCTAACTATGCCACAAACATTGTTAGAAATTAAGCAAAACTGATCGATATGTTTACTGTGGAAACAAAAGTAAAACTGAAACCGAAACTACACATTGTCTATTGAGAAAAAGAAGAAGATAGTAGACTAATACACCAATTCAAAGGCAGAACCCTTGGTTTTCTATTGGTTATGCAAAATATAAGATTAAAAGCCAGAGGAAACTATTGGTAAGTTCTGAAAGAGATGATTGACAGGTGGTCGTGGCAAGAGGGGTCTGATTTTCTGTTTGATATCTCTGATACTAATCAAGATTGAAGGCTATAAATATCATGTTTTACCTAAGCGATAAAATATTATACTGCCTTCCACAAAAGGGTTAAAAAGAAACCTAGGTCTACCTTTCTCAGAAACTTAGATAAATAAGATCTTCAGACCTTGTGGTAAACTAGTTTTGACAAGCACGGGCTTGTTATATTCCAAACT